AAAACCCTGCTTGTCACAGCTCCTTCCCCCCCCCTTCCCACTCCACTGATTTCACTTGTAGACTTGCCCTTCCCCCCTTCCTTCACTGCTCTCACATAGCTGTGTATATTTCCAACACCAGTCTGCTTTTACCGGTCTCTTCGCTTCAGATTTCTTATATTTTTCCTTCTACCCTGAAGATGGAGGCGATACGTTCCTCCAAAACGTCAGTTAACACCACATATACACGGTGCCAAATCCCAGAAGACTGCTTTCTTCATGATAAAGAACCTTCAGGTTCTTCAAAAGGTGAGAAAGTTCTTGTTTAGCTGAACAATTATTAGTTTATCAAGGACTTTGCTCTGTAGTACACAAACATGGGAGATGTGTTTATCATCCTGTGGATACAATTTGTCAATCGTAATAAGATGCAGTGAAACACTATGGTCTTCTGGGATATGATATTATGTAGTTTGAGAGATGGGTGCAAATATTTTAGAGGGACCAGTTGGCTTGATCTTCAGCACAGACAGAGGTAGCAGGTTCCCATAAAACACTGGTACCCATCTACCAAACTACACAGAGTCACATCCCAGAAGTCTGTAATCTTGACATATACCACTATAACAACCTCAAATCTTACAAGATGCAACCGCTCCAAATTAAAATTTAAGGTTGAACAAGATGTGAATTATCATCCATAGGATATCTAGTTAATTTCCTTGTATTGACTATATGTTGTACTGGCTTTAAGCAACATGTAATCTATATAAGAAAGTAAACTGGATATATGTAGTAATTTGCAACTTGTTCTTATATAGACAGTATATGGGGAAAATGAGCTCTGTCAAAGTAGAAATGAAGTTAATTTCAGTTCTTCATTAATAGTGTAACGTGTTTCGTTACAGAAGATGCCGTAGAGATGGTTAATTGGTTTATTTAACAATCTTCAAATAACGGCTACACTTAATTATCACAATGTTACGGGTTTCCACACTTTACAAACCCTAGAACAAAATCTCTTAACACTCTCTTCGAGAGTCTTCACGTACTAATAATGCGGGAGCTATACAAGTCTCCCTGAATTACACACTCCAGATATGACTGGTTATCACTGGTTATCGCACACGCGGCTGTAGCTCGTAACTTGCGAACTGAGAAGTCGTTGATAACGCACTCGGCGACTGTCACAGTACAACTAACTGTGAATAGCCTTCGCTGCTCCTTATGTAGCCTCGATCGGACAATACGGCCACGTAATAGGCACCCTTGTTGCCTGGCGCTGTGTTGCTAGCAACGCAAGCGGTAGTAACCGCTGTTACTACCGTAACAATCCGGTTGCGTCACCGTTACGTTACCGTGCGGAGGAGGGGGAGGGGAGCGCTGACTCACC